ATCTTCTCCACTTCGCTCTCGCACGAATACGCGCTCGCTGCAGTCGCCTTCGGCCTCTCGCCAAAGCAGCTGTTCGAGCTCTCGCGCGCCAGCATCGAGTGCATCTTCGCTCCGGAACACGACAAAGAAGCCCTCAGGCAGCTCTGGCGCGAATCAGCCACCACGTCTCTCTTGGGCTGAACGGAAAACAATAATTATTTTATTTTATTTTGGCGCGAAAGAACGCCGTTGGGGGCAGACCGTTGGGTTGTAGATTGGTCAAGGCACATCAAATCACGCGCAAACAACCTCATTGATCCATCAACTGAAGAAGAGAATGGAGACTAAGGGGAGCCCTTCCGTGCGCTACGCGCGACGTCGGCGATCGGAGAAGAGTGAAGCGAATGAGGTAAACGCGACTGTGGCAGATGAGGGCAGCACGGCGGGACCGAACATGAAGATGAAGCTCAAGGTGAAGCCACGAGCAGAGCCGGAAAAGAAGAAGGGGGATGAGGTCGTGTCCAAGGTGGGCGCTAAGCTGAACAACGCATTCGAGCGATTAGACGCCACGCAAGATGACTACGACGTCATGGATGAAGAGGAAGAGCCCCAGATCGTTGAGGCGAAGCAGCAGAAGGAGAAGCATGGTCTGGCAGATGAAGCCACGAGCGGCGGATTGGCGGCGGGGCTGCAGACGCTGGCCAAACAGCTGCACGCCTTCGGTCACAACGACGTCGTCCCCTTCACCGCCGGCGAGAGCGACGCGTTCGACGACGTAGACGACTTTGATCTCTGCGAGGAGGTCGTCTCCTCCGAAGAGCCTGCCGGCGACCAACCCGCCACAGATGCCGCTGTCGCCGCCGAACCACCGGCCCAGAAAGGTACCATCATCCGAAACCATATCGTGCTACACAAATCTCAAAACCAAATCTTCGATTAACTGATGGATGGGCACAGGGGCTGAGGTGGCAGCGAAAGTTGTGGCATCGCCCGTGAAGCAGAAGAAGCCTGTTATCGAGAAGGAGGAGGACAGGGACGTAGTCGCTGCCAGGGAGAGTGAGATCGTGGCCAAGAGGAACGAAGCGCAGAAGAAGGAGGCGAAGGAGCATCAGGAGAAGAAGAGGAGAGAGGCAGAACAGAAAAAGAGAGACGAGGAGGAAAGGGCTAAGCTGGCAAAGATGAGGGTGGTCGACGACGAAGACGAAAGCAAGGAGGTCGTCAAGTCGGACCATGGCAAGGTGCAGCAGACGAGGGACTCGTCCTCAGAAGATGAAGACGACCAGCTTGACAAAAAGGAGAAGTTGAAGAAGGAGCGAGAGATAAGCGAAGATGAAGACGAAGAGGAAGAAGACCGACGTCCGATCGGGGAGCGCATTCGCGAGCGGAAGCTCGACGACGGGGAAGAAGACGAGGAGGACGAGCTGCTCAACTTCCTCAACGGCAACATCAGCGATGACGAAGAGGAGGCGCAGAAGAAGAATAAGAAGAAGTCGAGCGCTCAGGATGCTGACTACGAGTCCACCACCTCTGCCAGCAAGAAGGTACGCACCTTTCGGCGGCCCGCCTGCACCACCGCACACTCACTTGACCCTATCACAAAACAGCGCCGCCGTTCCAGTGACAGTGACGGAGAAGAGGGCACGGACGAGCAGTCGAAGAAGGCAGGCAAGAAGGGCAAGAGGGCCAATAAGAAGGAGGGTCCGCCCAGCAAGCGACAGAAGAAGAAGGTGGCCAAGGAGGTCGAGTCGGCCCGCGAGAAGGCGTCGCGCGTCACCCAAAAGATCCTGCGCCGTACGGCACCCACTCGCCCAAATGCCCGCACGCGCTGAGGTCTCTAATTGCTCTAATCTTTTTTTAAACAACAGAGGGACGGCTCAACTTCGAGAGGATCGAAGCGCCCGAGATGGATGTGCAGGCCCTGGCCAATCGCCTCATCCGACGCTCTGCCATCCTGCGCAACACTCCGATGTACGTCCAGAACTGGCACGTCACACACACGCGAGTGTTGAGATCATCATCTTGACTGATCTCTCTCCCTCCTGCAGGGCTGTGCCCCGGTTGTCTGCCGACACCAAGCCGCCCCGTGCTGGAGGTGGGCTCTACGTGTGCCCTCCTTCTGCCGAGTCCGGTTCGCCGAAGGAAGCCAAGCAGGAGGCGGAAGAGATGGAGGTGGAGATCGGCGAGGCCAAGGAGGCCCATGGCGTCGTTCCTCCGAGAGTGATGATCAAGCCGCCGAGGAAAAGGAGAAAGAGAAGGCGGTCGTAGAAGAGGAGCCCATCCAGTCGGTACTTATCTGACACGATTGCTCGGCGCGCGCAAGGTCTTCCTCGAAGGCTCGTGCAATCCTTCTCACCTTCTTCTCCATTTACTGCAGACGCCGGCCAACTGGGCTGCCGCCAGCCTGGAGATGCCCATGGAGACCACCCAGGACCTGTGGAGCATGAGCCGCGGCGACGATGTGGATGACGAGCAGCCCAAGAGCGTCGAGGAGGCCTCGAAGCCGGCGCTTGGCCAGCAGGCGCAGCAATTCGACCCGGCCATTGGCCTCGCGCTCACCTACGAGCCCACGCTCGATCCGTCCATGTCCCTCGCCATGCCCCTCGACCACCCCGTCACCACACCCGCCTTGGTACCTTTTTCCCCCGCCCGCGCCTGGCTTCCTGGACATCTAGCGCAGTTCGAGCAACTGACCACTTAAAACTGACCACTTTTTTGCAAACGCGCAGGCGGTCGGTGAGGATGACGACCTGGGTGCCATCTTCGGTGGTGCCGCGAGCAGCAGCGACCAAAAGGACGACGCGCATTCCGACAATGACGACGAAGCGGTCGAGAAGACGGAGCACAAGGCCGCAGAGGTGAAGAAGATGGCAGCAGTGGCCGTTGGGCAGGTCGACCCCGCGAAGGCGAAGGTATCGGAGGAGCTGCGCGGCGGCGGCGAAGAAGAAGATCTCGACGACGAAGAGGCCCTCATCGCTGAGCTTGAAGGACGAAGCGAGGCACAGGAGGAGGAGAATGATGATGACGACGACGATGAAGCGAATGAAGAAGACGAAGACGAAGACGAAGAGGAGGACGACGACGAGGAGGAAGCGGCCGGTTCGAAGGCGAAGGCGACATCGTACCATACCAGCTGGCAGAATAAGAGGGAGGACGAGGAGCTCAAGGCCATCATGCGACGCTTCTGCCCGTCGGAGCTGGGCGAGGAGGATGACGATGACGAAGACGACGATGATGAGGGAAGTCGCCATGGTGGCGGAGAAGACGAGGCGCGACGACAGATGGCCCTGGCGCAGACAAAGAAGAGCGAGATGAAGGTGTGGGACATGTACGACAAGGAGGAGCAGGAGGAGGATGACGATGACGACGACGACGATGATGAAGATGACGACGATGGCAGCGATAAGGAGAACGGCAAGGACATGGCCAAGAAGACGAACGCCAAGTTCAACAGCAACAGCAGGAAGTCGGCGGCAGCGGCGATGAAGAAGACGACCAAGAAGCCAGCGTCGTCATCGGCGGTGACCGGCTCCATCTTTGGCGGTGCGACGTCGGCACCCGCCGGTTCGCTCTCGCTTTCGCTCACGTCCTCGCTCTCGATGATGGACGACCAGGACGAGCTGGAGACCATGAACCTCATCAAGCGCATCCAGAAGACCAACACCCGCTTCTAACATCACCGCTGATTGTTGGACATATGTGTCTTCTCACACTACAATAGAACACTACAAGATACTTAAATATAAAAGACATTTATCATAAATATAAAGGGATGTAAAGTGGAGTGGCAAGTGTTGGTTAGAAGTGGCAGTCACTGCAGGAGTCGACCTGCCACTGGCTCGAGAAGGTGTAGCCGGTGATGGTGGTCGGGCACTGGTTGACGGCGCACAGGGTCTTGCTCGTGTTCGGGTCGGCCTTGGCGAAGTAGAGGCAGCACAGGTTGACCCGGGGCGGGGGCGAGGGCGATGGCACGAAGCTCGGGCTCGGGCTCGGGGTGTGGCTCGCGGTGGGGCTCGGGCTCGGGCTGCGATAGGCCGCCACCGGACAGGCGAACGACGTGCGCCACTCGAACTCGTAGTTGTAACGCGGCTGATTATTCCAGTCGGGCATCTGTCAACCAGATCACCAGTCTTGGTGAGGGCCAAGATTGGTGTGACGGTAGTGGTGAAGGTGGTGGTGGTGTGGTGATCGACGGTACCTGCCTGAGGGCACCGACGCTGATGGAGGGGTCGCAGGTGAAGTTGATGGTGGTGGTGATCCGAGGGAGTGAGGCGGTGGTGAAGCGCATGCGGAAGCCCTGGTTCACGAACCACCCGACCCAAAAGGAGTGAATGTACGAACGCGAGAAGAGGAAAGAAGAACGAAGAAGAACGAAGCGAAGAAGTACGAAGGAAATCATGAGCTAGCGAGCGTGAGGGTACCTTGTCGTTGCCCAGGCCAGACCCGAGCCAGTGACCACTTGAGAAATCGCCCAACGAAGAACCTGGTGTGGCATGAGTCAGTACCCTTTGGCTGGAACCGTACCAAGCGTTCCGCAAAGCGTACCTGGTTGGACTCCGTAGTAGATGCACATGGCCGAGTCCGTGGCATTCCCGCACTGTGACCGATCAGATGTCAGAGGATCAGTACGCAAATAGAGAGATAATGACATATTTACATTTCTCCGGTAGAAACAGGGCATGAAGAAGAAGAAGAGGTACCGCGATGGGCTCGCAGGGGTGGTAGGTCACCACAATGGTCTGGCCGAAGGTGTTCCACTGCACTTTCTAACTTGTGTGTAGCGCATTGAGGTTGGTGGGAAAAGCTGAGTTGAACAGCTCCGCGAAGCTTCTCGGGTGGGTGAGGGGAGCTATTACCTGGGTAGGCCTGGAGCGGAGTGATATCGTACAGGTAGCCATTGACGGGGTATCGGCAGATGGGGCCGGCCTGGACGACCACAGAGACCGCCACAAGAACCACAAATGTGGCCACAATGGCCGACTTGGTCATTGCTGTTGTGTGGCGTGGAGAAGCGTAGAGTAAAACAGTTGGGTTCATAGTGTAGTCCGTCTTCAAAGTTCTGGTTGGCTGCCCGACCCACGGGCTGCGCGAGAAAGAAAAAAGAAAAAGAAAAGTAGTGTGGCCACCAAAAATGCTGTGTCGGCGACAGGACAGGGTACATTCGATCACACTTCGTTGGCCGAGTTACAGCCGGCTGGACAGTTGTAGGCTGCAACCAGGCCAATGATAGACCGAGCCTTTTTCGTCTCTGGTGTGGAGGAAAACGTTATGTGTTGTGGGGCGTGCAGGAATTGAACCCGCACCTCAGGATCTGGAGTCCTACATGATTCCACTTTCACCAACGCCCCGCAACGTACCTTAGAGTGGGAGGTCCGTTTTCAGAAGTTAGGCCTAAACCAAGGAGTAAAAGGTTGGAACTACTGCCAACCCAAGGTAGTTGCCCCTCTGAAGCGGTCAACGGCTCATCTCTTTTTCTTTGTTTACAAAAAAACGCTTTTTCTCTTGCCAGCGAAAGGAAAATAATAAAGGAAAATTAGGGAAAAGATAAAGGGAAGGCAGTTCCCGCACGGGAGAGAACGCAAGGCACCACATTGCAACAATACTACATCGATTCAATTCGAGCGGCCGCCTCTTCCATTGCGAACTCTCTGCCCACAGACGCCGGCCAAGCGGCTCTTGGAAAAAATCGCAGATAGATATCATTTTCTCTGCGATTCACAAGCGGGCACGCGTGATTGTGGAACCACATGGACATTCCTGGGCCGCACAGTACCCGGCACGGACAGCGCGAGCTGAAGCGCAGCCCCAGCCACGACGCCATGCAGCGCCAGAAGGATGAGCGACGCAGGTACAACCGCATCTACCCTTTCTGCGTTGCCTGTTTTCATTTTTACAGCGTGAGCACATAATTGCCCGCCTTGTTTTTCATTTTGTATCATACCTGGCCGCACACGCGTGCGACACGGCACCGCACACCGCGACACGCAATTGGCAAATACGTCACTCACAATGCAAGCGTGGCTTCGGCTACAAGCAACAGCCGCTCACCCAGGTCCTTCGGCAGCACTTTCGCCACGCTGCCGTCCGCCATTTCTTCCTCGCCCACGACACGCCGCGGACAGAGGCTCGGCCCCGCCCGGGTACCACCACCGATCACTCACACTCACTCACTCGGCTCTATTCCTCTATCGCTCGTCGTGGGCTCGTTGCGCCATACCATCATTTATGTTTACACTCGCCTCTCCATGGGTGACACCGCAGTTCACATCCATGGAAGACGTGCTTGACGATCCAGACATGGAGGTACGTCACATGGTGATCGTTGATGGTTGTTAGCCACGCGCAGAGGGAATGCTAATGTGAGATTTATTGATTGGTTCAGTACAAGCTTCGAGAGTCCTTTCCAAAGAGGCCGGCCTCGCCGCATCCAGGCGAGAGTGTTTCACGTGCGCGCTCACAACTGCACATTCTTAGACCTCAACGCGTTCTAGTGCTAACCTCATATCTGACGTTGCGTGTCGCTGTGTGTCGTGTGATGCGATTAGATTTGGGTTCATTGGCGTCGGCCAGCCGCCAGCTCAACTTCTCGCCCAGCTCGATATCACCACCGTCGGCTCACCCGATGAAGGAGGAGACGCTGGACGACGCACTGCATCGCGTGCTCTCCTGCTCGCACCACTGCCGGCTCAAGAACGAGGACATCACCTGGGCTCTCAACGTGCTCAACCAAAAGCTCAAGGTCCACACCACATATTCCACTGTATTATTTATTTATTTATTTATATATCATACACATAGAAAACATCGATTATGATATAAATAATGATGCTAATATATTCGACGATCACAGGTACACACGATCAGGGACTTTTCCGATTTGCAGCTGGACAGCCCGAGCACCAAGGCCCACCTCCTGAAGAACTGGCCGGTCAACAGATTCCTGAGCTGCCTCCAGGTTAGACCCCGCCCGCAGTAGTGTGGCCGCTGCTAGCCAGAGAGTACTAAACCGCCTTCCTATGCAGCGAGAGCTGATCACCATCTACCGGAGCGAGGAGTCGCCGCTGGACATGGACGTCGAGGCTTTCCTCCGCATGATCCCCAAGCTCAAGAGCCCAGCCATATCCGCGCAGATCACCGAACAGCTCAAGTACTTGTGCATTCTTATCATTCTTCTTCCTCCTCCTCATGTGGTCATCATCTGCTCTTACACTCGTGTCGTGTGCCGTGTCGTTGGTCGTGTTGCGTGTTGCGTGTTGCGTGTTGCGTGTCGTGTCCAGGGAGTGTCACATATGCAACTATGAGACTCTAAAGAGCGTGCCCCTCGAAGACCTGGCCGCGATCCTGGGCGACGACAAGTACGCACAGATCATCGTCAAGGAGATCCACCAGATTCAGGACTTCTCGATGGAGAAGCTGCAGCGCAAGTACGACGAGATCGAGTTCCTCGCCAACGGGATTCCGCTTAACACCTCCATCGCCATCACCAAGATGACCCGGCTACACAAGCTAGCCAACAAGCTGCGCAGGTCTGTGCCGTGTGTGTGTCGTGTGTGTGTGTGTGTGTGTGTGTGTGTTATTAAGTGCTAATTCTGTTGATTTGTACCAGACACATCTACCAGACAAACTACCCGATGTTCAAGGGGCGCAAGGAGGAGCTCGAATATCTGCTGGAGGTCACCGAGGACTACCGCAACAATCTGCAGGTCCTGTGCGAGCACCTCTCCGCCACCACCGACGTGCCCAGCGTGCGCGAACTGGAGACCGAGCTGCTGCAGGTGACCGAAGCCAACCGATTCGACATCAACGAGGTACGCGCACCATCGGGGACCCTTACGCCCAGGACCGAGAAAGGGCGGCCACACTAACCACGGCTAACGCAGGACCTGCTCTCGGAAGTGCTACGCAACTACCCCAAGCAAACCTCGCGTGTCGTGTCGTTCGTGGGTCCGACCCACTCAGGTATGGCCTGTGTCGTGTGTCGTGTTGTGTGTGTCGTGTGTGTGTGTGTGTGCCGTGTTAAACGCCAGCCTAAACTGTTGTTGGGTTGTACGCGTGCGTAGGCAAGTCGACGCTGATCTGTCACATGTACCCCCACATGCCCCAACGGCCGCGCGTTTCCCAGAAGGGCGTCTTCCAGCCGACGACCAACAACGTACGTTGCATACCTGGCCATGGCAAGGGTAGGAGTGATCTTATCATAAGTGCCTGTTTTTTTGTTTTTTGTTTTTTTCAGGTCAACATGTACGACGACATCATGTTTCTGTCGACAACCACCCTCAAGGAGCAGGTATCGTCCAAGCGCATCCTCGTGCTCGATGTCGAAGGTAACCCCTCGCAACCGGCTCACTTGCAACCAATGAAATGTATTTCGAAACTGATTTCATTTTGAATGGATTGCGATGGTGTTGGCGAATTGGGCTGTGGTTCGGTGTGTGCCTGGTACCTGCAGGTATCGACGCGTCACCCAACACGCCTGCGGTGACGGCCAAGGACATTAAGAAGCTGTCGATTCGGGACATCAAGCAGAGACTGAGCAACGTCAACAAGCTGCCCCGACTATGTTACACCATCTCCAACGTCATCATTTACGTCGATGAAGCCAATTTTGCCCGAAGAAGGTACCTTCACGTGTGTGCCGTGTGTGTCAGGCGAGAGTTCCTGCTGACGCGATCGTTCATTGCAGTCCGTTCAAGCACATGCTCGAGTTCGCTCAGCAATCGACGACCGGCGTTGCGTCGTCGTTCCCGCCCTCGCTCCTCATCGTGTGCAACAAGTGCACCATCAACGACCTCGAAATGTCGGTCGAGGTTCTTCCTCCTCTTCTAAATAATAATAACCAATAATACCAATAATATTCCTTATTCGCAGGAAACGACGCGCCTCTATTTGGAGACGCACGACAAGAACAAGCTCCTGGGGCAGGCCTTCCTGCGGGTCGTCTGCGTGTACATTCCGGACAAGGGCACCGAGAAGAACTACTTCCGGTTCCTGCAGCAGATCAACGTGCTCAAGCTGCACCTGGAGCTGCTGCTGCAGGAACAGGAGCAGATCCGACAGCAGCACAACAGGTTCTATCCACTCGCTGCCTCTGCGCCTTGTCTCCGCCGCATGTCGGAAGACTCACCGGGTGTGTGTCGTGTGTGTCGTGTGTCGTGTGTGCGTGTTGTGTCGGTTAGCAATCTGAATCGAGCGCAGTGGGGCGACAAGTTTCGGTGGATCGTGTACAACTTCCACCAGGAGCTCAAGGTCACGCCCTACGAAGTCTCGCTCAAGATCGGCCCTCAGGTACTCCCCCCCACTCCACCAGCGTGTTGCGCATGTCGTGAGGGCTGCGTATGTCGTGCGTGCGTTGAGTGTCGCGTGTGTGCCGCGTGCTCACGGTGACGACGGTCATTCTGCTCCCCAACCCACAGTACAAACTCGAGTCGGTTATTGTCGACTTTTTCCATTCGATTTACGACGACAAGCCGTCCGAGGGCCGGTGGGACAACTACAAGCAGGCCTGCGAAGGTACCCCGACAGAGACCAAGTGGCTGTCACCCAGTCATCACTGATCATCGCCCCGTTGCTGACTCTCTCTCTCTCATGTGCGGCGCAGCCTCGATCAAACTGCTGGCGATGATGACGGTGGCGGCCAACAACGAAGCGCTGCTCTCGCAATTCCTGCCGGAGATGAACAAGGTGGTCGATGGCATGCTCGCCAGCGTCGCCTACGAGGAAGGACACGAGGGCGAGGAGCCCATGCCGGTACTCGCCCCCGGGGCAAGCTCGCAACTTTCGTTTTTTCCTGATTATGTTTTTCGTTATTGCATTGCGTTTCATTTTCAATTTATATTTTTATTTATTTGCGTGCTGCCAGTCGTTGAGTCTCTCTGGCCTGCTACGCACCCGCGCGACCAGCAAATCGCCCGATCCGTTCGACAGCAAAGGTACGCAGCTGGCCCGAAAGGCTCACACGACACGACACGCACACGACACGCACACGCACACGACACGATACACTAACGCGGCGTCGGTGGTATGTGGCCGGCATACCAGACGCCACGGGGTCGCTGCTACGCAATCTGTACACGGCCCTTATTTCGCCGAGCACCGCGTCGTCGCCCTACCGCGGAGTCGACAAAGTGCGCAGCGAGGTGCCACGTCACAACAACCCCCCGCTTGCGCATCTTTTTCTGATGGGATTCGCGTGGATGTCCAGGCGATCGGGCATCTGACCCCGCCGGCCTCGCCCGCCACGCAATCGATCCTCGATCATCACAAGACCAAGCAGGTCGAATTCGAGGAGCACAAGCTCTACCGCAGCCTTGTCGGCTTCATCTGGCAGCGCTTCCACGAGGTAATCTCAATATCAATGTATTTATTCATTTCTATTTTTCAGATCTGACGACGATATTTCATAATAATGATGCTTATTAATATTTCATAATATATAATAATAATATGCGAAATTATGTGCGCAGGTGGGTCCTTGTTCGGCCAAGCGACCGGAGTGCGTGGACGGCGACGGAATGCCGATCTACTGCACCCAGGTCAGGAACGGTCACATCTCCCACCGAAGTCAGACCGACATCTGGGTTTCCGAAGCGTCCAATCTCCCTTTCTACCCCAGGTTCGTGGCACGCACGCACGCACGCACGTAACAGGTCTCACATGCGCGGCCACTACAGGGTGATGTGGGCCAAGGCCAGGCGGCAGTTCGGCAAGATGTTCTATAGAAAGATGGCCTCCCAGCTGAACGTGTGGGACGGACCCTTCCAGGTACCGTACCACACACTCGCCCCATCTGCAGCTTCATTCCTGTGAACCGACACGACACACACGACACACACGACACACACGACACGCCAGGAATACGCCGATGAGGCGGAGCTCGAGTCGCATCTGTGCGAGCTGTTCATCAAGGAGCACGCGGCGTACAACAAGCTGCAGTACCAGCCGTTGGACTTCTTCAGTCGCCTCCTGCTGTTGGTCGAGTCGGTCTCCCCGCGGGTGCTCAACAGCGAGGTCTGCTTCATCTGCCAGACCAACCAGTGCCGCGGGCGTCTCATGTTCTGCGGCCACCCCTTCTGCCAATACTGCATCGAAAAGCTCGTCAAGCTCAATGCTAGGTACCCCGTCGCGTGCGTGTGTGTCACGTGTGCGGTGTGTCTCGTGCACGTGTCGTGTGTGCGGTGTGTCTCGTGTGCCGCGTGTCGTGTGTCGTGTGTGTCGTGTGTCGTCGGTAACAGTGGAGCCGGGGAAACCGATCAGGTGCCCGATTTGCAAGAAGCGGGTGGAGGCGACGGTCAACTTCCAGCTGCTGTCGACTTCCGAGGAGGAGTACCTGGCGCTCAACGTGCGCCGGTTCATAGCCCACTTCCGCGACAACCCCAATTTTGCCAAGTGCGTTGGGTTCTGCCCCAGATTGTCTTTCTTGCTTGCTTGCTTTCTTTCTTTCTTTCTTTCTTTTCCCTTGGTTGATGAGCCCACAGTCGGGTGGGCTTTGGTGGCTTCTCACACGTGACACGCGTCGTCGTTCGCAGGCCGGTGACGGTGATCTCCGTGATCGGACGACACACGCGAGAGCAAGCGGCCGATCTGTACAAGATAAGCGACATTCGAGAGAGGTACGCCTCTCGTCACGCAAGCGCGCACCATGGCAGGCGATCGGCGCTGACCTTTTCTTTTTCTTTCTTTTCCTTTCTATTCTTTTCCTTGGGGGGCGTGTAGTGCGGCGGGGCCGGAGCGATGGCCGGGGAAGGAGCTCACGCATCCGCTGGCCATCCTCTTCTTCTGCCTCGAGCAGAACGGTGCTCAGTTCATGTACAAAGGCGATACCAACAGGTTCCATGCTCCCCACTCCGACACCGCACACGCACACACGCACCACCGCACACACGCACGTAGCACTCACCCGATCAATCGCGACGACGACAGGTCGGCCGTGTATTTCCTGGAGGGCTTCGTGTTGGTGCACTACAACATCAATTACGACCCCAAGCGCATTTCCAACTCGTTGCCCCACCCGCTCTACTTTGCCCGAAGCACCTCGGGTATGCCACCGACATGTCTACGTCCCGGACCTCTTGGCTAATATTTATTCTACGTCTCGTGTGTCGTGTGTCGTGTGTCGTGGTGTGCTGTGTCGTGTGTCGTGTCGCAGATGCGCTGGTGTTTGTGGAGAACAACGGCAAGGAGCTGCCCGAGAATAATCTGCTGTCCCAGTTCTGGCGAGGTCGGTTCAAGGAGTTCCTCCTTCCTCCGCGTCAGTCCGTGGTACGCACACTTTAACCTATGACAAATACACACGACACGACACGACACGACACGACACGACACGACACGACACGACACGACACGACACGACACGACACGACACGACACGACACGACACGACCAACGACGCGACCAACGACACGACCAACGACACGACACGACACGGCCAATGAGACGGGAGAACGAATCTCACACGAAGAGGTGGTGTCGCCTTACGCTGCAGCTGGGGTGGGCCATATTGCTGTCGACCATGTATGAATACTCGCGACGGGAGAAGGCCGACCCGGCAACCGCCGTCGTTCCAGCGTCCAAGTACTGCGGCCTCTCTCCCCCCCTCGCCTGCAATTTTGCGGTCTAGATCTAATGATATGTACGAACGCAGTCGAGAACAGCTGCTCAACACTGCGATGGTCGACGCCTACAAGGGAGAGGCGTACCACGCCGTCCAGAAGTTGGTCCGATTAATCAAGAGCCAGCACTACTTTAACAGGCACGACACACACTAGACGCACGGCACGACACGACACGACACACGCTTGCTTACTGACCGACTTGGCGTTGCGTAGTGCGGTCCACCTCGAGGAGTCGAGCAATCGCCTGTTGATGGCCTCGCTCTGGAAGTACGTCGTCGCGGAGAGCTTCGTGCACTACCTCGGGGAGCTCTGCGTGGCGTGGGCGGTGGAGCCCACCGCCGTGTCCGACGTCCTGGGCACCCTGCTCGACGGCTGCAACCAGCAGGTGCGGGACCAGTTCCTCACCCTCTCCTACGAGCCCGACGAGAGCCCGGCGTGCGTCGCCCCCCCACCCCAATTTCCGCACGACACACGTTCGTCTCAAACCGCGTGTTGTGTGTGTGCGGTCGTGTGTTGTGTGTTGTGTGCGGTCGCGTAGTGCCGTCAATGCGCGGAAGAAGAAGTCGCATCAACGGATGAAGAGCAACTCGTCGTTCCGCTACGAGGAGTTCGCGCTGTGGTGCGCGGACATACTGGAGTCGACCGAGTGCGCGGTCTCGCTGACCCACCTCACGGCCTACCTCGACCGCTTCGCCCACGACAAGGTCGCCCACGCGCGTGAGAGCGACGCCACCGGCGGTGGTGGCGACAGCGACGATTTTGACATCAGCGGCGACATCGGCGGCGTCAAGCTGCGCAAGCAACTGCAGCAGCGCGGCAGCCGACGGCGGCGTGAGAGCCGCGAGAAGCTGGAGCGCGAGCGCAAGAAGCAACTCGCCGCGTCTTCGTCGGCGGCGGCGGGGGAAGTGGACAGGAAAGAGCACCACGACGTCGGCGGCGTGGCCGGGTCGGGCGACGAGAGCGGCGCCACCGCCGACCACCGGGTGGTAGCCGCGCGGCGGATGAAGCTGTCGTCCATGTTCCCCGTCTACGGCCACCTGGTCAACCTGCGCGACCTCAAGCGCGACATCGGCGCCGACGAAGTCGAGACCCTCTTCTCCGTGCTCTGCTACCGGCCCTATCACCCCGCCACGACCTTGCCCTCTGCCTCCACGTCCCCGCCGATGGTTCGCTTCTTTCTTTGCGCGCGTGTGCGGTTGTGCGTGCGTGCGGTGGCGCGTGTGCGGTCAACCGCTCTAGCTGACGCAAGCGGTGCAACAGTTCTTTGCGTCGACGTCGAACCTGCAGCACGCGATGGAGGGGGAGCACAAGAAGCGCCGGTCGGAGCAGATGCGGGACCGCAGCCAGAGCATGGGCAACATGAAGCAGCCGACGTGGCCGCCACGCCGACGCCGACGCCGGCCAAGGCGACCCCCACGCCCCGCAAGTCGTCATCGCCCACCCGACGCGCCTCGCCCACGAGCCCGCGCGAGGCGGCGTTGGCGTCGGGCGTCAGCAACGAGGGCGAGCTGGTGTGCGTGTTGTGCCTGAGCGGCAAGGCCATCCGGCTGCAGCTGTGCGGCCACCCGATCTGCGCCGTGTGCTGCCGCAGCCTCTCGCGGCTCGAGCAGTTCCTCGAAGACGACGTGTGTGAGTGGCGCGTGGCCCAGCGCGCCAGGGAGCGACGCGAGCGCGAACGCGAACGCAAGGAGGCCGCCGGCCCAACGACGGCCTGGCGCGGCGCGTCGTGGTCGTCGTCGCCCGTGCAGATGTCGCCAATGGCGTCGCCCACTTCGCCCGGTTCAACGCCGACCACCACCACCACCACGTCATCATCGGCGCCCACGACGCCGGTCAGCGGCCGCAGCGATGCCGTTGGCGACCTGTACAAGGTGGGCGCTTACGGCGAGCGCGTGCGGCAGATGGAGCGTGAGCGGGAGCGCGACCGCGAGGCCCGGGAACGCGTGCGCGACAAGGGCAAGGAGAAGGAGAAGGACGACGACGCGTTGATCGACGGCGCCGCCGCGGAGAAGGAGACGCTTATACGGGCGAACGGCGGCGGCGACGAGCACGACTTTGCCAAGACGGTCGACGAGACGGTGAAGCTGTTCTGCTGCCCCATTTGCCACCGGTGGGACATCGTGCGAGTCCATCGCTACATCGCGGCCACAATCAAGTGCGTGTCTCTGTTCGTTGGGTGTGTGGGCGTGTGGGCGTGTGTGGGCGTGTGGGCGTGTGGTTCCAGCAACGGACCACTGACCGCACGCGCACATGCGCACATCCAGGCGACCGGATGCAGCGGAGGTGCTGGCTCTGATGTTGGCGCCGCTCTACCAGGACATCAAGAAGGGCCGGGCCTACCTGCACAGGTATGTGACAACTCCACACCTCGCTCGGCACCGCACACATCTCCTTTCTTACACACGCACCCTTTCTCTTGTCGCTGTGATGCGCTGGCGTGCGCGTGCGTGCGTGCAGGCCCCTGGAGAAGCTGGAATGCGCGAATCCGGCGGTGGGCAACATCCGGGTGGGCAACTGGCGCGGCAAGGCCGTGGCCGTCAAGTACTACGCCGGCTGGTCGGCCCATGAATTCAGAAGGTACTCGGTCCTTTCAATTATTATGCATTATGCGTTAGAACTAATATATAAAAATACATTATTTATGGCTCATGCGCTGTTGGGCCACACCAGCGAGCTGGCGGCTATGGTGCTCACGAGCGGGTGCAAGCAAATCGTAAAGGTCCTGGGCGCCCACGCTCCCGAGGACCACCTGCCACGTCACGACAATCCCTTCCAGGTACGTTAACAGCCCACAGCGCTCACCACCGGCCTTCGGCCCACCCTCAATCCTCGGTACAGCTCGACTCGATTGCTCACCCCAGTGTGCAACGCAACGCAACGCACCACAGATCGTGCGGCCGTTCTACCCGCGAACGCTCGAGAAGGTGCTGTGGTCGGCCGAGGAGGTGGGCTTCCTGCGAGGCCTCCAGGTGCTCAAGGACGTCGCCAAGGCCATCCGCTACCTTCACGTCCTGGGCTTCATCCACAAGAACGTCAAGCCCGGTACAACTATCATAGTTTCGTCGTGCCGCGCGTGTCGTGTCGTGTCGTGTCGTGCGCCTGTTGTGTCGCGTGTCGATCGGGCTGACCACGGTGCGAATGCGTCAATGTGTCATTATCGCGATTTAGGTAACGTCGTGGTGCAGGAGCTGCGAGGCCGGAGGAAGGAGAAGGCGCTGCTGGTGGGCATGTCCTTCGGCAGCGCGGCGTCGCTGGTTTCGTCGCCGTCCGCCGCCACCAAGGCCTCCGCGCAACGCTACAAGGCTCCCGAGGTGACCAAGGGCGGAGCGCCCACGAAGGCGTCGGACGTCTACGGCTTTGGCAAGACGATCCGGGTGCGTACCCTGGCTGTGACGCCCATCGCCACCTTACAAATGCTTATTTCTTTTATATTCTATTTATTCTTGTACTTTTGCTTCTTATTTTTCATTTTTTTTATTCACATTTTATTGTGGGCTGCAGAAAACGCTGGTGAAGGTGTTCTACAATTCGAACGCAGCGATGGAGGACTGGCATTCGATCGAGCTGCCCGAGGTGTGCCCCTATCACATACGCCAACTTATCGACAGCTGCGCCGACCCCGAGCCGAGCAAGGTTTGTGCGCCCCTCGTCCCCTCAACCATTGCCGGATTGCTTACCGTGTGTGTGTGTGTGTGTGGTGTGATGTGGTGTGTGGTGTGTGGTGTGTGGTGTGTGGTGTGTGTGTGGTGCAGCGACCGAGAATCGAGGTGATCCTGGAGGCGCTCAGCAGCGAGGTACGGCTGCAAAGCGAGGAGTGCATCAACATCCCGGAAGAGACCTTTGGCGAAGGCGACGGGTGACCACACCTCTCTTTCTCGTTTTCGCGTTCGCTTTCGCTTCTTGGGCTCACTCTCTGCGACATATGATAGTGACGAGTGGCAACCGATCGTGGGCGACCTGTTGCTACCCGACCTCGATACCGTCAAGAACTACCTCCTTTGGCCCGTCTACCGCGAGGGTGCGCAGCCTTCTTGCAACGTATTTTATTTGTCGCTCGAAGCCTTGGCTCATCTCGCCATCGTGTGTCGTGCCGTGCCGTGCCGTGTGTCGCGCGTTGTGTGTCGTTTCGTGTCTGAATTAGAGGACGACACGGACGACAGCGACCACGAGGACAACGGCCTGTCGTTCAGCATCAACATGGACGACGAGGACCCAAGCGCGGGCCTGCAAGACGTACGCACGCGATGCCTTCGAAACACAACACGCACGCACGCAAATTTATGACGTTTTGGCTTCGCGTCACACACACACACACACACACACACACACACACACACACGCACAACACACGCACACGCACACACACAGGTGAAGCTCGATCTCTCCGAGTCGGACGCCGACGATTCCGATCTCGTGGACACTGCGCGGATCAAGCGGCGCACCAGCCTCCTTTCCCGGGAGGACCTCGACAAGTACACGCCGCACGCTCCACCGCACGCGCCCACGCCCACTAATAGCTAACCACTACTGCGCAGGCGACCACAGGGCTGGCAGTGCAGCGCGGAGGACTTCCACCGAATGCTCGCCGATGAACGCGGGCCTTTCGTTGGTACGTGCGCGTGTCATATGTGTGGCGTGTGGCGTGTGGCGTGTGGCGTGTGGCGTGTGGCGTGTGGCGTGTGGCGTGTGGCGTGTGGCGTGTGGCGTGTGGCGTGTGGCGTGTGGCGTGTGGCGTGTGGCGTGTGGCGTGTGGCGTGTGGCGTGTGGCGTGTGGCGTGTGGCGTGTGGCGTGTGGCGTGTGGCGTGTGGCGTGTGGCGTGTGGCGTGTGGCGTGTGGCGTGTGGCGTGTCTAATCGAGCTGCCCGATGCAGATATGCTGCACTACTATAGGCAGGCGTTCGCGCGTCGCTACTCCACGAGCCGACACTCGAACTCGGCCCTCTCCGCAGCCGTGAGCGACGTGAAGCTCTTCATCAAGTTCCTCCTCGACTTCCTCGTCAACCTCGCCGACGACCTGTCTTTCTTCGAAATGAAGGCACGGCCTTATAATTTCCTCTGTGCTTATTTATTTGTTTATTTATTTATTTTTAATAGATCTATTATTATTAGTAGATAATTTTCTGATTTGTGGGATGGTGCTCGGTCGCAGGAAGCGGTGGCAGGTGAGGTGATTTTCCCGCTGCTCCACGACATTCTGTTCGAGCGCATCAAGGCCAACCACACCCACAAGAACAACTTCGTCTCCAAGAAGATGGCCTCCTTCCAGCACCTCACCCTCGAGGTACACCTTCCGTGCGTGTTGCGTGTTGCGTGTTGCGTGTTGCGTGTGTCGTGACGCTGTGCTCACGATGTGGTGCTCGGTGGACAGGACCTGGGCGCCCCGGAGGAGTGGCGGCTGAAGGGAGTGTCGCAGCCCTACGCGCCGCAGATCGAGGCCCTCAAGCAGCTGCCCCGCTTGCCCTCGCCCTACCTCAAGGCCCGCGTACGCATCGACCTCATCTCCCCAACCGCATGTCATGCGAAGCGTTGCTGACCATCCGCGGTGTGCAGTTGCTCCAGGAGGTGTTCGACGATGTTGTCGCAGAAGCCGATCAGCACCATCGCGGAAAGTACGCACCACCGCACACGCACCACCGCACACGCACGCAGGAGGCGCTGCTTACACGCACACGACGCTTTTGTCTGGCAGGGTCAAACTTGTGGCCGGCTTCGATGACACGATCGCGGTCATCCAGTACCTGCTGCTCAAGGCGCAGATCCCGCACATCTACTCGGAGTACTACTTCATGGACGTTTTCCTCGAAGAAACCACCAACGACGGTACGTGGGACACGCGACACGACACACACGGCATGCACGAGCTCACCTTGACTCTTTGAACCTGCGCGAAATAGAGTTGGCGCTGCGCTTCGTGCTGGGCAAGCTGGGCGGCTTCATTCAGATGATGTTCGAGGACAACATGGAGGTGCCCATCGGTTCGGTGAAGGACGCGCTCATCGAAGCCGTGGCCGAGCGGGAGTGCCCGGAGGACACGGCCCTCATCGCTTCCATCTTCTCCCACATCGCCGAGGTGTGTGTGTGTGCGTGCGTGCGTGCGTGCGTGTGCGCCGTCCTGTCTCACCAATGTCTTCGCTGGTGGGCGTCGTATGTGCAGGTGGTGGACAAGGACCACTCGCCCTGCCTCGTGCCTCGAAAGATCCGCGAGGAGCTGCAGAAGGCCGTAGCCGCCGAACGCCAGCGACCCGCCAAAACGTACTTTCTATTATTCATATTATTTATAGTATGTTGTACATACAATCTGACCGACCACCACCGACACAGGAGCCCAATGATGTCGACAGCCTTCTCGCCGGGCACGCCGCGACGCTACGGACCGACGGCGCCAACAACATAGGCAGAGTGTTCCAGGGCGGCGCCAACGAGATCGTGATCGGCTCCAAATCCCGAGAGGCCACTATGACCCCCGGCGGCGGCGGCGGTTCGATGACGGCCGCCGGCAACGGAGCGCAGAAGCGGGCGGAGGATAGGGAGGCCAAGGTCAAGAACGAAGAGGAGGAGATGGAGGAGGAAGAGGAGGAGGTGGTCGCGCCGACGTGGGTCGGCCCGGTGCTGGGCATCGTGGGCGTGGTGCTCTACAAGCGCAAGTTCCACTTCCGCAAGCAGTACTCGCTCGTGCTCTACAACGAGCTCAAGTGGCAGCTACGCGACCTCCAGGAGGAGCAGACGAAGCAGAAGGAGCGCGAGCGCAAGCGACGAGCCGGTGGCACCGCCATGACCATCCCCGCCGCGCCGTCATCGGAGTCGTCGTCGGGCTCCTCGGCCACATCGTCGTCTCCGCCTTCGCTCTTCCAGGGCCGGGACTAAGAGCTGTGCTGGCCTGTGAATGTCACACGCACACGAGTGCCCGCTGAGGCGATGCAACACAATAAACAGCACTGACAAAACAAACATACGTGCATCGGTGTGTGATCCCCTGGTATCTGGGAGGGTGCACTATTGTAATGGTGCCACAATTTCGCTTGACAGCCGTCATCACTTGTCGAGCTCTTGGCCCGCCGGCGGTTGATGAACAAGTTGGCCTGTGCGGCAGCGATGCCACCAGAAGTCCGCGCCCGAGCCAATGGTGGCGGCCAACATGGTGGGGGTGGGTTAAGTGACAAACTCTTACGCGCCCTCGGACTTTGGGGGTGTCCGCGCAAAGGGCTAGAGGCCATCTTTTTTCCTTCGTTTCCAACCGACGTACTAGCAGCGATCGATCCACCCACACTTCATCAGGTCCTGATCCTCACCAAACTCTGCTCTCCCACTTCGTCTTCCCCTTCTCGCTGCCATCTTTCATCAGAGCATTTTGCTCGCGCTACACGCGATCAACACCAAAGCGCGAGATTTTGCACACGAATGATCGCAAGACCCTCAAGGGTTGCACTAGATCGTTGTAGGCAAGTGGAAGCGTGCTGACGTGGTTGATGTGATTTTTGTCTGCAGAATGTTGAACGCCCCCCTTCCCCACTCGGCCAAGGCCCAGTACAAGACCATGGCCCCGGGTCAGAGCATCAAGCGCTCGCTCAAGCACTCCCTGCAGCAGAAGGAGGAGGTGCCCTTCAACCCTGTGAACGTGCGTTCGCAGATCATCTGCACCGTCGGTCCGGCCACCAACAACGTGGAGATCCTCTCCGAGCTGCTCAAGAACGGCATGAGCGTCGCCAGGCTCAACTTCTCGCACGGCAGCTACGAGTACCACGCCAGCGTCATCCAGAACGTGCGCGCCGCGTCCAAGGCCACTGGCCACACTTGTGCCATCATGCTCGACACCAAGGGACCCGAGATCAGGACCGGCAAGTACAGGGACGGCAGGAAGGAGGTAACCCACGCCGGCTCTCGTCTTCACAATCTGAGTCCATCCGCTCATACCGATTCACATCGTCTCGATTGTGCAAACATTCCTTTAATGCTCTTTTGCACTCTCATCAGGTCAAGTTTAACGTGGGTGACTCCTACACGTGGGTCCCTGAGGAGGGCTTCCTCGGTGACGACAAGTTTGGTGCCCTCTCGTGGCTCAACATCGCCAAGGTACCACCACCCTTACTTCTTAATCGCGCTCCATCTCGAATCTTCGCTGATCATCAATCCTCGCTTTCCACGCCCAGCACGTTTCGCCCGGTGACCGTATCCTCGTCGGCGACGGTCTGCTCGCCTTCGTGGTGCTCCAGGTGTTGGACAACGGCTGGATCGAATCTACGGCTGAGAACTCTGGTGCGTAGGACGGCTGCGTTGATTTCTATTTTTTTGATATTACTTTATTTTTTGTGGCCACTGACCGTGCCCTGCTTTATTGTAGGTACCATGGGTGAGAACAAGAACGTCAACTTGCCCGGCGTGATCGTCGATTTGCCCGCCGTGACCGAGAAGGACATCAAGGACATCGAGTTCGGCGTCCAGCAGGAGGTGGACTTCATCGCCGCTTCGTTCATCCGTAAGGCCGAGGACGTGAGGGACATCAGGGCTCTCCCCGGCATCAAGGAGGCCAAGATCCTCATTATCTCCAAGATCGAGAGCCAGGAGGGTCTTGACAACTTTGATGAGATCGTCGAGGAGTCGGACGGTGTCATGGTTGCCCGCGGTGATTTGGGTGTCCAGATCCCCATCAAGAAGGTCGCCACCGCTCAGAAGATGATGATCACCAAGTGCAACTCCGTTGGTAAGCTCCCATTGCCCGCGTTGTGTGGTTGTATCCACTGTCTCACTGTGCCCGTCTGACAAACCCTTCCCTCAATGAATTGCAGGCAAGCCCGTCATCACCGCTACGCAGATGCTCGAGTCGATGATCCAGAACCCGCGTCCCACTCGTGCCGAGGCCACCGACGTTGCCAACGCCATCTTCGACGGTTCCGATTGCGTCATGTTGTCGGGTGAGACTGCTGCAGGTACGATGCGTCTCATGCCAGCTTAGTCTGTGGACGTATTCATACCTTGCTCACACACTCTTCCTCTTACAGGCAAGTACCCCGTGGAGGCTGTTGAGATGATGGCCCAGATCTGCTATCAGGCCGAGTCCGACATCGACTATAGGGCTCTCTACAGAAAGATTCGTGAGTTGGTCATCGCTCCCCCGATCTCCGTTCCCGACACCATTGCCTCGTCCTCGGTCAAGTCGTCGTGGGATATCGCCGCCTCCGCCATCATCTGTCTCACTGAGACTGGTAACACCGCCAGGCTCGTGTCCAAGTACAGGCCGTCGTGTCCCATCCTCTGCGTCACTCCCAACGCTTAGTACGTCAACCCAACCCAACCCAACCCAACCCACAGCGTTTCCTAACCCCAAAGCATTCCTAACGGACAACCTTCGCGCTGGCGACAACAGTGTGAGCCGCCAGATTCAGATCTCGCGAGGCTGTATCCCTTACGTCGTGGAGTCGATGAAGGGTACGGATAAGGTCATCGAGAGTGCCATCCGGCATGCCAAGGATGAGCTCAAGATCGTCAAGGCTGGTACGTGCTCGCCCGAGTCCTCTCTCTCTCTCTCTCTCTCTCTCTCCTGTGGCGTTGTGTAACGTGTCGCCACCGATCGTGTTCCTGAACGCTCTCGCCCTCTTCATCACTGCGCAGGTGACTTCGTGGTCATCACGTCGGGCTTCCTCGAGGGCACGTCGGGTGCCACCAACATGTTCCAGGTCCGTCAGGTCCCCGAGTAAGAGCTCTCGACCGACCCACGCCACGTCCGCGCCACGCCTAGCCTGTTGTGTGGCCGTTGATCGTCTTTGTCACCTTCATCTCCTTCTATCCCCTGTAGTCGCACCATCCGGAAAGGAATCCTTTCAATCCTCCTCGGTTGACGATCGTCTCTCTTCTTGTGCAGCTCTGTCGTCTCCAACGTATTTTGGCGGGAAAACAATTTCCTGGCTTTTCTCGGAAGGGTTTTTCGGCCAATTGTTTTTCAGCGTTCAGCAGCACCTGAGAAATTTTGCATAAACTCGAAGCGGGAATTTCGCGAGGTGTTTGTTTTTGAAGTGGCCCAGAAAACAAACAAAATACTGCACAGAGAAGGAGAAGGAGAAGGAGATGGCGTACATGTTGTACGATGGAGGAGGCCAGGGTGCACAGCAGGACTACTTCTACCAGGCCAGCGGGACGGTGCCCAAGTCCAAGCTGAACTGGGAGGAATTTAAGAAGGACCTCGCCAAGCGGGTGCGCGTACAGAAGGTGGCGGTAGCCCCCACCGTGCCCAAGAACAAGGAGAAGGAGGCCGAGGTAGAGGACGACGAGGAGACATGCCTCGTGTGCACCGACAAGCTCAAGGACCGATGCATCCTCAAGAGTACTCCCCTTCTACTCAGTACCATTTCCCGCACTTTTCCTGACTCGCCTTCGTGGTGCTCGTGCAGGGTTGTGCCGTTGCGAGAATTTCCCTTGTGAGGGTACGTGCTTCCCCCATTCCCTGTACACGACGTGTCGTGTTGCCTTCGTGTGTCGTGCCACAGGGCAATGCCCTTTTCTATTATGTGCACACGCTACACGCCATCTTTGGTGATGAAGTTGGAGAGCTCACCGCGTTTCATTCTTTATCGATCGTCAGGACACGCGTGCAGCTGCAAGGACTTCTCGGTGTGTTTCGGATGCGTGGGGAAGGCCCTATGGCAGGGCACTAACTCGGTGATGAAGCAGAAGGGCCGCTATCGCGCCAAATGCGTACCACTCCCTTTCCATCAAAGAGTGCGCGCATGTGTTTGTAGAGTGATCGCGTGTGTGCCGCTGCACTCACCGTGGACTAACCTTGCGGTCGTTGTGGACGTGCAGCCGCTGTGTAAGGCCGAGTACTGTGCCAGGGACATCCTGCGTCTCGTGCCCGCAACATCTTGAACAACATGTTCACGCGTCCAAGCTTCGTCTATCTGCCGTACTCCATGTACAAACGATATATTTTTTTGGTTCATGTACATAACTACATACAACAACGTTCTATGCTCCTTCTTGGCCTGCGTGTGGCGTCATCGCTCCCCTTGTTTTCCCCGGGCAGTGCGTGCGCACGCGCGTGTGTCATTCTTGGAATGCCAGGTATGTGCCACACCAAACTTCAACCAAACAGAAGTTTGAAGCGAGATTCAAGCACACACGACACAACAAAGATGGCCACGGGAGAGCGTAAGGCGGGGAAGGGTATGCAGTTCCTGTTCGGTGGCCTCAGTGGCATGCTCGCCACCTGCGTCGTCCAGCCCCTCGACCTGGTCAAAACACGGTACCGTTCTCGCTTTCGGCATCTCCCGATCGCCGCTTTACCGATTGATTCCTGCTCAACGCCACTGGCGGTGAGAAAGAAGAGGCTGCACAACAAACGTGCAGATGGTGAAGAGTTCGAGGGTGGACCGTTCGTTCTAAATTTTGTTGATCTACACAAAATGCGATTGTAAATCTCAACCAGCACTTCGCGCTGTGTGGCGTCACTTGATGGCCAGCCACCGTCGTAACCATCGACCGATTCAGTGGCTTGTGGCGTTTTATGCTAATTTGCAATTAACACAGGATGCAGTTGAGCGGCGAGGGCGGCGGTGCCAAGGCGCACAAGACGTCGTTCCACGCCATGGCCAACATCGCGCGCACTGAGGGACCCTCTTCACTCTACAAGGGGTTCGGCCACTCCACCCGCCCCTGTCCCACTCGCCACAACATACTCCCACTCCTGTGTGCAACCCCCACGCGTGGTCGCGCATGACCTTGCACGACACACACCACAGGCTTTCGGCTGGCCTGCTGAGGCAAGCGACCTACACGACTGCCCGGCTGGGCATGTACTCCATCATCAACGACTGGCTCGTCGCCCGCAACAACGGCAACGCGGCCATCCCCTTCTACCAGGTTCGTTTATTGTACAACATTATAAATTTTATATATTTATATATAAGAACATATAAATTGTATATATAACAAAAAGTAATAATATGAATTATATTATTGACTGGCGGTGGTGACCGTGTGCTGTGCTGTTGGGGACCACAGAAACTGGTGGCGGGCATGATGGCGGGCGGGTTCGGTGCCGTGATCGGCACGCCGGCCGAGGTGGCCCTCATCCGCATGACGTCGGACGGCCGATTGCCGCCGGAGCAGAGGCGAGGCTACAAGAACGTGTTCGACGCACTCCTCCGCATCTGTCGCGAGGAGGGCGTGCTCGCCATGTGGCGCGGATGTACGCTTGACCCCATCGCTAGTAACACGCACACGCACACGCACACACACACGCACACGACGGC